TGATTGAGAAATTAAAAAGAGTGCTATGGCTCAACAAACAGTCACCTGTTGCCACTCCCCATCTACAGCTTCTTTCCACAATGTCACGTTGTTGTTCCCATCAGCCACAGCCAATATGTTTCCGGTCAATGACCATGAAACCCTCCACACAGGGGTACCGAAATCGTGCAATACTTTACCTTCCCACTGGTCCCCTTCCTTGGCCACTGCCCATATAATTACTTTCCCGTCCTGGGATGCGCTAGCGATGGTGGATTTTGGTAGCCCCAAATTGGGTGCCCAAGCTACATCCCGTACCCAATCGGTATGCATTTGAAGAGCTGGAAAGCAGTCCATCTTCCAGATTCCGTTGTAGAGCTTCCACACCTTTACAGTGCTATCACATCCACCAGAGCAAAGTTTCTGAACAGGGTCCAACAAGCCAGAAATCGATCCTTGATACATCCCATCCTTCGTCTGCCCTTGCGGTAAAAACCGATATATTTCCATCAGAAGAACCACACGCCAAACAAAGTCCAAGTTCATGAGGAGCCCAAGCAATCGAATTAACAGATGACTTATGGTCATCAAACACATGAGCCTGACTCCATTCATTCTGATTGCCTTCCTTCCAAATAATCACTCGTCCATCATAACAACAAGAAGCAAGTAAAGAGCCAAACTTTGGATGAGCCCAAGCCACCTGCCATACTGGTCCTTGGTGACCTGTTAGAGTTGCTAAATGCTGATGCGTATTGTTGCTCACCCCAATTATCTTAATCGTGCTGTCTGATGAGGCGGTAGCAATACGCTTACCATAATAATCCATGACCACATCATGGACTGTGTCCTGGTGGCCAGTTTCAATCTTCTGCGAAGGCATTTCTCCTTTTCCTGTGAATTATTCAGTTTCAGTATTAAAAAACTGAGCTGGGATTTTCAGTAAAAATCCAGACATTCCATTAAAGAACAAGAACAAAATAATAATCAAAAGAAACCACAACAAAAAAAGGCAATCGAGCATAAAAATAACAAAATCTAAGGAACCCCATCACAAACGACCGGGCAACTCTGGTTAATTCTTTGTTTCACTATGATTTTCTTTCTTATGGGCCTTGGGTTTCATTTGATGCCTTAGGTTTGTCACATATCTTAATTTAAGGATACAAAGGAGGCAGTGGCAACCAACGAAGATCCATTTGCAGTGGGTTCTTACTCTCAGGCCATCTGTTACAAGACTAATTCCATCACTATTTGACCTTGTAAATATACACATTTCATTAAGGGTAATGTTAGGATAACCATGTAAACTGGTCAATACCAATACAAACAGGAATGAAAGGCTCTTAGATTAGTTCAGTTGAGCATCATGAAACACAATATCTTCCTTGAATCTTCTTCTTCTTCACTTCTTTCCCTTTTTTATCCCTAAATCTTCAGCCCAAATATTTCGGCACACATCACCATCAAGGCCAATAAATCTTCTATTTCATCTCAATTGCTCTAGCTCTCATGTCCAAAGGTTTGTGTTACATATTCATTGAAATTTATTGACATGTTAAGGTTTTTCAGTCCTAGATTTCCTTGTATACCCGAGGTAACAAATATTAACCATGGCTATTGTTTTGAATTCCAGACTACAAAATTCATATCATCTTCAGAATTCCTAATTTGGAGCTCAAATCAATATACGCTGGTTATCAGCGCTTATATACAAATCTATAGGTAATCAAAAAATAAGACAGATCTATGCCAAATGAGAGTACAGTAATATAAAAGGAGGCCGAAATCTTACCGGTAATCGGCGGAAGGAACAGTGGCTTCGATCGGATCAGAACTGCATAATGTTCAAAACAAATAAATCATAATTAGATCTAATAAAACTGAAATAAAAATGCTAACAATTTTTTAAAAAAAGAAGAAGAAGAGAGAAATTAAATTAATTAACCTTTAAAGGGGTATTTGATCTATCAATGAATTCGAAGATTTTTGACTTGTGATGGAAATGGCAAAGGCCTAGGGCTTTATGTGGTTTAGCGAGAAGTGAAATGACGAGAAAAAGCTCCAGTTAATAACGATGCTATGGGGGTGACGTCAAAATTTGAAGAAATTTAAATTGAATTTCTCCGTCTCATTCTTTCTTTGACAAACAATTTCTTACAATATCAAACTAAAGGATAAACTATATTATTAGTCACCAACGGATCATTTCTCTCTTATTTCTATTCATTTTTAGAAGAATATCATTAATTTATTTTTTTATGTGGACGTGATATTTTTATTACTTTTTTAAATCTTCACATCATTATTTTATTTCATCAGTAGTCCAAGTGTTAATTTTATATCTATTTTGTATTAAAAAAGAAAAAGGTATAATGTAAAAAAGTCTTTTTAAAGCACTTTAAGTCTTAATATTCTATTTTTTTCCAAATAATTTTTTATAAAAAATATTAATTAATTATCGGTCAACGTTTGTTGTTGACATAGTACATTCATATATTTTTTGGTAAAGGGACTAATTTCTTATTATCAATTTTTTAATTTGGTTTTCTGATTGTACGTTAAATTAAAGAGCTACAAGTTCTTAATCTCAACATAAATTTCATCAGATAAATCAATATCAGCCAAATTCAACAATTACATCGAATTAAATTTACTATTTGACGATGGAATATTTACTTTCAGATTATTTTTAATTGGTATTGCACCTTCGAATTCTCTTAGGTGACGTTTGGTTAGCAGGAATCCGTTGGAATTAAGGGGAATTGAAATCCAATTCTTCCATTTTTCTATGTTTGGTTCAAGTTTTCCAAGGGAATTGGAATCTCATGACTTCAACTTTCCATCAAATGAGGGAAAGTGAATTTCATCTATTCTATGATGGAATTCAATTCCCTTGTTGGAGGGAATTGAAATTTGACCATACTACTCTCATCAATCTTTTGGTAACTTATTCATATATTGAATAAAAATATTTTTTTTATTATTTCGGGTCGGGTCGGTTTTCTAATTCATATATTCGGGTCGGTCGGTAAAACTTTATTTTGGTCGGGTCGGCTCATTTTTTAAGTGTGATATTCAGGTCGGGTCGAGTTTGGATTTAGGGTGAAAAATACCCGACCTGACCCGACCCGACCCGAAAATATATATAATTTTACCTTATATATTTAGGAATAATTACAATAATACCCCTCTATATATATTTTTTTTCAATTAAGTCATTGTTTTTATTGAATAAAAATATTTTTTTTATTTCGGTCGGGTTTCTAATTCATATATTCGGGTCGGGTCGGGTGAAACTTCATTTTGGTCGGGTCGGGTCGGTTTTTTAAAGTGTGATATTCGGGTCGGGTTCGCGTTTAGGGTGAAAAATATCCGACCCGGCCCAAAAAATATATAATTTTACATTATATATTTAGGAATAATTACAATAATATCCCTCTATATATAATTTTTTTCCAATTAAGTCACTGTTTTTATTGAATAAAAATATTTTTTTTTTATTATTTCGGGTCGGGTTTCTAATTCATATATTCGGGTCGGATCGGGTGAAACTTTATTTTGGTCGGGTCGGGTCTCGGATGGAGGTTCCCTTGTTCTCGGGTCGGGTAGACCAGAAACCCGACCCATGACCATCCTTAATTGAGATGATTTTAACTTATGATGTTTATTAACATGATTTTTATAATTTATTGAAATGAATAATTAATCAATAAAATTAAAATTTAATATATTTTTTAATTTTTATAATATATTGTTACATGTAATTTATAAAACAAACTAAAATTAAGTAAAAAAAAACAATAAGGGCAATCATGTCATTTTACATTACTGAAATCAAATTCATCTAACATGTCTGCGAATCAAACAGAATATTGAATTGGATTCCAATTCAATTTACTGTCAATCAAACGTAATATAGAATTGGATTCCAATTCCTGACAGATTCCAATTCCTTCACGGATTCCAATTCTCTCATAAACATTTTAACGAACCAAACACCATCTTAGTATTCATCGTACCGATATCGATAAAAGTTAGTTGAGCTCTCCCGATATCCCACAAAACAGTGAAAGTTGAATGATGTTTAAAGTTTAGGATAATATCAAAAGAGATGGATTTAAAATCTAATTTAGGGTTTTGAAATCCTTAATATATATATATATTTAAGATAATTATTATTATTTTGTTATAATATGTTAAATTAACAAGTTGTCCCTTGTTCCTGTCTCATCATTTTCTTAATTTTTATTCCTTAAATCAATCAAATGATGTTGTTAGAATTAATTAAAAATTAAAATTAATTTTATAACTTTTATTGAAATAATATAATATCTGTCAGTAGTAATACACTCTGAATATCAATTAACTAATATTTTAGAACGAAACCTACTTAAATAATTATCTAATCAACTATATATACTTAATACATTATATTAAAATATAAAGTTATGTCTATTTTTTTATACAATTTTTTTTTATTTTGAAGGTAACAAGAAATGAGTTAGGCTAGGAAAAACAAACAATCAAAAGAGAAAAAATATGAAAGGGAGGGGTTGAAGTGAGATTTAATTTGAGTATCTAACAGAGGAAATCCACAGGCAAAAGGAAAAGAGAAAACCCTTCGGGAAAAAGAAGACCAATAAAAATAAAATTCTTTATCTCTTTCTCTTCGCTAATTTTTTCGTAAGTTCTTCTCGTTTTGTATTCCTTATTAATCTCAATCGTCTCTTCTTTTTTGTTTTATTTTTCTCAATTCCCAAATTTATTTGTTCAAAGAGATTGATTTTTATTTCTCAAGTCCCCAAAAATTGTATTTGTGTAATATATATATATATATATATATATATATTTTAATTTTTTTCGTTTTTATAAAATAAATAAAATTTTGGGTTCGTCTTCTTCTTTGTTTTGTTTGGATTCGAAGTTTGTTTCTTTTTTAGTTTTCCTTTATTATAAACAATTCCCCCTCTCTCTATATAAGTATTTTTTTTACTGATAGAGTCACTTCTAAACCCGGAAATCTCTTCGATTAAGAGGTTTGTATCAGTTCCTCTTAATTTCTCCGTTTAAGCAAAAACCCAGCTATTGTTTCTTCTTTTTAAAGGAACATCCTTTGGTGTTGTGTTAGAAGAAACTGGGGGAACTATCGGAGAGAATTTTGATTTTTCTGGGTTGTTTCAATTTTGGGTTTTCTTTGTTGGGTGTTTGGGATTATGAGGAATAGTGGAGATGGACAGGGGCAAACTAAAACGCAAGGTGGTGGCGTCGTTTCCAAGTCAGCTTGGAGTTCATTGCGTGCAATTTCCAGTTACTTAAGGATTGTTTCTTCCGGGGCTTCCACTGTGGCGCGGTCGGCGGTGTCCGTGGCATCATCGATCGTGGACAGGGAAGATGATTCTGTGTATGATCAGGTAATAACTAAGAAAAGAAGTGTTTTTTCTTCTAATTTTAAAGTGGAATTTGTTATAGAGTTGGAAAGTTTGTTGTAGTTCAATTTGATGTTTGTTAAAAGAGAAAATTGTTCGAGTATTATTGGTATGCCCATTTTGAGTTTTGTTATACAAAATTGGAATGTCTTAGTGGGTTGAACTTTTCATAAGAGGAATATATATATATATATATATATATATATATATATTACTTTATTTGGAGAACTTTAGTATGCCCATGTTGAGTTTATTTTCTTCAAATGTTCAGTTTTCTTAATGGTTCTTTGCACGTGTGTTTCTTTGTGTTGGTGTTTTGTTTTGGGAAGGGAAGGAAAGTAAGGAAAATTGTGTGATCAGTGGTGTGTTTTTTGTTTGAGATTTCGACTTACTTTTCTACTTTTAGGTTTGTCTTTCTATAACGTGCTTTAAAATTAAGAACATAGTGCAAATATGAGTAATATCATAGTCCTCTGTCACTTTGGTTGATGTAAAGGTTAATTGGGCTGGCTTTGACAAGTTAGAAGGTGAGAAAGATGTCACTCGAAAAGTTCTCCTGCTTGGTTATCGATCTGGTTTCCAGATTTGGGATGTTGAAGAAGCAGATAATGTCCTTGGCTTGGTTTCAAGGCGTGATGGTCCTGTTTCATTTATGCAAATGCTACCAAAACCAGTAGCAGCGAAGAGATCAGAAGACAAGTTTGCAAACAGCCGTCCCCTTTTGGTAGTTTGTTCCGATGGGTCCCTTTATGGGGGCACTAACATTCAGGTTCATTCTTGCAATGGAAGCATCCCACACAGCAATGATTCAGGGAATGGTAGCACTGCCCCTGCCATTGTCCAATTTTATTCGTTGAGATCCCAATCTTATATACATGAGCTAAAGTTTAGATCAGTTGTTTATTCTGTAAGGTGCAGTTCTCGAATTGTTGCTATAGCTCAAGCAGCTCAGGTATGTTATCTTATGCATATATATTTTTAGCATCATTACATCTAATCAGATTTTGAGAATTAAGTTCTAAATCTTGCAGATCCATTGTTTTGATGCCACAACATTAGAAAAAGAATATACCATTGTTACAAACCCTATAGTCACATCCTGCCCTGGTTCCGGATCTGTAGGTTTTGGACCTTTGGCAGTTGGTCCTAGGTGGCTGGCTTATAGCGGAAGTCCAGTTGTAGGTTCCAATTGTGGACATGTCAGTCCACAGCATCTTATGCCTTCTGCAAGTTTCTCTGGTTTTTCTTCAAATGGTAGCCTGGTCGCGCATTATGCAAAAGAATCCAGCAAGCAACTTGCTGCTGGGATTGTGACCTTAGGAGACATGGGATATAAGAAACTGTCGAAATATCTGCCGGACTCGTACAGTTCTCTGCAATCAGGAAATCCTGGCTGGAAAGGGAATGAAAATGTCAATGGTCATGTTCTCGATACCGATTACATGGGAATGGTACATATTTTCTCCCCAACTCTGATTAAACCCACATTTTAGATATTTATTTTTCAGAACTCCCTTTTCTCGTACTCTTTTCATTTGGCCTCATATATAATCTTTAATTTAACATCTGCAAATTGCTATCATTTGTGTTGTTAGACGTGTATAAACTTTCCTGTTCAGTATTTTATGTATTTAGTAGTTATCTTTTAGTCCGAGGCTTGTGTTCTTCTTATAAAGGGTATTAGAAAATGACTTTTCAGTTTTGCTCTGTTCAGTATTTTATGTATTTAGTAGTTATCTTTTAGTCCGAGGCTTGTGTTCTTCTTATAAAGGGTATTAGAAAATGACTTTTCAGTTTTGCTCTCTTGGGTTTTAAATGATCTGAAAATAATGCAAGCAAACCCCTTTTTTACATATCACTTATTATTTTCTTGCATGGGCTTATCAGGTTATTGTCAGAGATATTGTCAGCAAGGTTGTTATTGCTCAGTTTAGGGCACACAAGAGCCCCATTTCAGCATTATGCTTTGATCCCAGTGGTACTCTTCTTGTGACAGCTTCAGTTCAGGGTCATAATATCAACGTTTTCAAGATTATGCCTGTACTTCAAGGAAGCACATCTGCATGTGATGTATCAGCATCATATTCACATCTCTACAGACTGCAGCGTGGTTTTACAAATGCTGTAAGATTAGCTTTAATGTTCAGTGTAATCCGTACCTGTTCTTAGCAACTTGAATTTTTTCTTAATTTTTTCCCATTCTTTGGAGATTTCAGGTAATACAGGATATTAGTTTCAGTGATGATAGCAACTGGATTATGATTAGTTCTTCAAGAGGGACAAGCCATCTATTTGCTATCAATTCAATGGGTGGATCTGTAAGTTTTCAGTCTGCTGATGCTGGTTTTGCTACTAAAAATAGCGGTTTGGGTGTTATGACTAAGCCACAAGTTCATTGGCCTCCTAATATAGGAGTGCAAACACCTAGACAAACAAGTCTTTGTGCTTCTGGACCTCCAGTGACACTTTCTGTTGTTAGCAGAATAAGGAACGGAAATAATGGTTGGAGAGGCGCTGTAAGTGGTGCTGCTACGGCTGCAACTGGAAGGATGGGTTCCCTTTCAGGGGCAATTGCTTCCTCTTTCCATAACTGCAAATGCAATAATCTTGTGTTTGCCGAGAGCAGCTCTTTGAAGACAAAATATCAGCTTCTGGTTTTCTCTCCTTCTGGATGTATGACACAGTATGCTTTACGACCATCTCCTGACCAGGATCCAACACCAGTTGTTTCTGGATTAAACTCAGCATTTGAATCATCTGCAGAATCTGATGGAAGGTTAGTAGTTGAGGCAATGCAGAAATGGAATATTTGTCAGAAACAAACCCGAATGGAACTAGAAGATAATATAGACATATATGGAGAGAATGGAGCATCAGAAACTGGTAAAGTATATCCAGAAGATATCAAAGAGGGAACTACATTCCCTGACCCATCCACAATTGACAAAGCAGATACCAACCCCGAGGAAGAGCATAATTTGTATATTTCAGAAGCTGAACTACAGATGCATCAAGCTCAGGCACCATTGTGGGCAAAACCAGAGGTATTATTCTGCAGCTGCCGGCTAGGATATCTTAGACGTTTCGTTGTGGAGATATATACGCTTATACTTGAAGGTGCCAGTTAGCTCAGTTAGTATAGTCTTTTGGTGGTCATATGCCTAGGATTTGGGATTGAATCTCAGTTTCAGTAAGACTTGGAATGGCAATGTTTTTTCTTCTCCCTGAAGTAACTTATCTTTCTTGTTATATATCTTTGCAGTTATACTTTCAATCAATGGTGATGGATGGCATCAACATGGCTGAAGAAAATTCTTCTGTTGGGGAAATAGAAATTGAAAATTTGCCAACTCACATGATTGGAGCACGGAAGAAAAGCTTAGTTCCAGTTTTTGATTACCTTCAAACTTCTAAATTCCAGCAAGCAAGGTGTGGTGAAAGCTATTTATGTCGGCCTGTTTTACTGATTCCAAGGATAGTTGTCAATTGACTCAATTCTTTATACCTCCTCCCAAGTCATGATACTTATAGATCATTTTGAAATAAAGTATCCTACATCTTAATGAAGGAGTTGTTAATTAACAGAGTGTAGCTGTGTAGGATCCGTTATTTCAATCAGTTGCTTAATGTGTATCACACTTTTGGTTTTTGGCCCTTGTTTTTCTTCGCTTTATCATCAAGGGAATTTCTTGCAACTGCTCTATTTGCTTATGTTGGCATCCATGGATATGTTATTAACTCTTATAATCTGGTTTACAGGATTCCAACTGTAAATAGCAATAGCAATGGATACCTGCTGCATCAAAGGTCTGGTGTATCTGAAAATGGCCGGCTTTCATGTAGAAGTAGCTCTGGCTCTCTTATCTCTATGACTGGAAATGGTGCTATGCTTGCTGAACTTCAAAATGGCATCAAGGAAACTAGATTAAATGGTCCTCAGATGCCTTTAGGAACCAAGGGCTGTGTAAATAAAAGTGACAGCCTTAAAACCAACTCCCAGGTTGATATTGTAAATAATAGTGAGAACTCAAGAATGGAAGCTGAACTCAAGTTTGTAAATAATTACAGTGAAGACCTCCAGATGGGGAATCTTTTTGAAGAAGATGAAGGTGATGAGTATGACCAGAGGTAATCTTATTATTTCTAGTTTAAATTATTTGTTTAGTGCCTTTGATGTGCCTGAACATATCATCTTCACTAGAACGAGCTTGCACCGAGATATTCATTATTCCTTATCATTTTGATGTGTCATCACTTTCCTTTTGGTTAATTTAATTGCTTAATAAAGCTCTGCACTTGGGACACATAGTCTTCTGCTTGAACATGGCATTAAACCATGCCATTGTTATGACATTTGAGGCGAGGCCGCTCTTGGGGATTCCATCTGCTGAATATTGATTATTTTTCACCTATACCATCTCTATCCCTCTTTTTCCTCGTTATGCTTTTAGTTAGATTAGATAACAAGCTTTTCCGATTATGATTATGAACTGAAGTTTGGCCTTAATCTTCTATTTCAGGTGTGCATTTATCATTTGATTCTCCAGAGACTGATTAACATTGTTTCATAGTATGGTTTTAATACCATGTTTAGCAATGTAAACAAGACAGAAAGGGTGCTTTGACAGTGAATTGTTTAATACTATGTTGGGTTTTTTCATAGGTTTACTCTGTAAATTACAGTCAGTGAATTTCACAATAGTTGTGATCTGTAAATAATAGAATTACAAACACCAACTCTTTTATTCTATTAATTTAAAAAGCTTATTTGTTATCATTCAATTTAGATTTTGAGAAAGCTTATATCTGATCCAACAAGAATAATCTGGTATACCACAAGCCAATAAAACTGAACCAGAAGAGATTTTTCTTACTTTTTATTTTATTTTACAGCATTGGTTTTTTTTAATCAGTTAATGTTTTTATTGCAAAATCCTGAAGCAGAATATCTAACAGCACCTCCGGTCTAAGCAACATCAAGAAAATCAAGTGCTATTCTGCCATAATGTTTATTGAGCACCATTTTCCAACTACTTTCTTCCCCAGCAACTAGGCCTGTGAACCAGGAAAAAGAAAAGAAAAGTGTAAGAAATACTTGAGAAAAGAGATGGCAAGCATGTATGTTATTGGGACTCTTCGTTCATGTCGAGTCCAAATAATATAGTTCATAACTATATTGTGTGCTAATGAAAAGGACATGTTGCTATCTTACCCATCTATCATATATGTCTGAGCATTGTAGAGGTTGCAGTGGTTGAAACCATTGCTGAAGACTGTCTCTTATCTTATCATTGGTGCAAACAACAGAATTCCACCATTGGTGCTCCCCTCTTATTTCTTTAAGAGCGGCTATTCCGTTGCTTGTCGCGAAAGGAAGCTTCGTTAGCATGGGACAGTTTCCGACTTCAAGTGTCTCCAAAGCAGACCAAGCAGGTAGCCTCGAACAAATGCTCTTCAACATAGCCAAATCACTCAATTCTATGACTCAACTTAGGGATCATTTCAGAAGACACTTGTCCTGCCATGATATATTTCATTTTTCTGCAGTTTTTCACCTTGATTTCTTCAAGGTGTTTCATTTGTTGAAGTAAAGCAAATGAAATGAGGGTCTTTAGCTTCTTACAATTAACCACTTCAATGGTTTTTAACCATCTGAGGCATCCTTTTCTAGGGACCATACCACACAGAATTTCGCCCAAATTTTCTAATCGATTGAGGCTTAAATGCTCCAACTTTGGTAAGATCGTCCTTGAGATGTCTCCGCTTATCAAACTAGTGATGCAATCACATTTCGATATAGAAAGTGACTTCAAGCTTTTCAGGCTTGACAATCTACGGCTGACAGAGAGCTCAGATATAGCACTTATGCCTCCACATATAACCAGGTCCAAGGCACTTGCAGTGGTTAGCAACCCATTGATTCCTTTGATTCCCATGAGGTCAACCCATCTGAGAATGGCTCTCTTTTCATCATGCTGAGTGGCCAAATGGTTTGAATCACAACTCCCTGGGCTAATTTGTATGGTGAACTCTCTCAGTTTCGTCAACCAAGCGGCATCCAGGACAAGAGAATCAACCTGGGTCTAGTCTTAGTTTAACTATTGAAAGATGCTCCAGTGTGAGTATTTCATTGAATGAAGCTAGACTGTCTTCTGCATTGCATCTGGTATCCCACTTGTATGCACTACAAGACATGTCTAATAACTCCAGGCTTTGCAACCCTGAAATTGTACCAGCTTCGATGGTTTCTAGATGGTGTGTCCGAGACAAATGTAGTTTTCGCAGCTTATTCAGCTTACTCGTCCCTTTTGGTAGTTCTCTTAGTCGAGTGCCCGAGAGATCCATCGTCTGGAGTTTATAAAGAGCTCCAAGTGAAGGGAGTTTCCCTAGATAACAACAATCTCTTAGTAGAAGAGCTTGAAGCTCGCATAGTTGACTAATAGAAGCTGGCATAGAAACTATATGAGATTGGCTCAAATTAAGGACCAACTTTTCTAAGTCCTGCGAAGAGATTGTCATGGATTTTGTTAATAGGATTACCTACAAGGAATAGCACGTTTAGCTTGGAGAAACCTGAGAATTACTTCGGCAACTTGGTGATATTTGTAAACGAAATACTCGTGCGTGGCTCTTCTGAGCCTTGTTTTGTTGATATCCATATGGCTACATCCCTGACCACAACATGCAATTTCACAGTTCCAGCATATTCACCTTCTTCTAATAAGCAAGAGTCCCTCAGAGTTTCGATCATTGCTATCCCATCGTTGAAACATTCCTCTAGAGGCTGGAGCTCATTGATTGATCTATTCGCTATCCAGCATTGAATCAATTCATTTGTTCTTATCGAATAGTTCTCCGGATATAAAGAACAAAACAGAAAGCATGACCGCAGGGTCTTACTTGGTAGTGAGTCGTAATTCAACTTTAAACGATGATAGACTTTGTCCTCGATGTGTTTGATGTGAGGGTCCGGCCACCGTAAATGCTGAAGTGCGTGTCTCCACAGCTCAATCCTTCTTTTTTTCCTCACCGACTTCCCGACTGTCTTGAGTGCTAACGGCAAACCACGGCATTCTCTTGCAAGTGCCCTTGCTAGTGGATTAATGCCTGGCACTTCAACCACATCTCCAGCATTTTGAGCAAACAGATTCCAAGCTGCTTCTTTTAGAACATCCAACTTGATTTCTTTATCCGTCATCATGGCCCGGCAGACATCGAGCGATCGAGTTGTCAAGAGAATCTTGCAGTTGGCTTGATCATCACTTTACGGAATCCCGACGATGTCCACTTCGATTTGCTCCCAAACATCATCCAGGATCAGTAGGACTTCGATTTGCTCCCAAACATCATCCAGGATCAGTAGGAACCTTCCCTTCATCAATCTTTTAAGCAGCAGCTTAGCCCTTTCCTCTATGGAATCATTGGCATCCAATTCCAACTTCAATCTCTTGGCTATTTGAGATTGAACCTTTTTCAAATCGAAGTTCTTCGACACTGTGATTCAGATGACAATATCTATCGATTCCATCAACGACGATGACTCAAGCTTGTTGTTCAGGTTCCGAACCAATGTAGTCTTCCCCACTCCGCCCAAGCCCCAGATGGCTATCCTATTTTTGCCATCCCCCTTCAACAATTCCATTAGTTTGTATATCATCTCTTCGGCTTCTCTCTGTCCCTCCAGAGACAGTCCTTGCTGTTTCTCGACAGCTAGTACCGGAGACTTCTTGTCGGTAACAACATTGTCGAAATTGCAGGTGTTAGGAAAAATAAACCGAGTAAAAGTAATTTCCCTATAACCAGATTAGTGAGAATGCGAAATAAAAGCGGAAAAATAATACCCGAAAATTGATAACGGAGTTCAGCCAATTGTGCTTACGTCTCCGGGCTACTGCAGATCTTTTACTAAGAGAGAAAATTTACAGGTGTTTACAAAACACTCACTACTCACAAGAAAGCTCTCTATTATAGGAAGAAAGAAATGTTTTGGGATGATTTTGAAGCTAAATGGGTAAGGGTATTTATAGTAGAAACTTAGGGACTAATCTTTGAAAATACCTAAAGTGCAATGACTAAAGTGAATTTACCCATTCCTATTTTCAACAAACATCTACCAAAATTTTACCAAACTTTGAAAAACATTTTTCAAAGAAACATTTACCAAACTTTGAAAAAATATTTTCCAAAGTTGGTTGCCAAACTTTGAAACTTTTAACAATCTCCCACTTGAAGACTGATTTTAATATGTCTTCACACCTTGATCAATGCAGCAGCATGTCTGGTCTTGTTATTCTAGCATGCCAACTGAAGCTGAACACAACTTCAGTTTGTCTGTAGTCACCGTCTTTGTCAACATATCTGCCGGATTTTGAGCTCCACTGATCTTTTCAAGTTTCAAAATCTCATCTTCCAGAAGAGACCGGATAAAATGATATCGCAATTGTATGTGCTTTGTCCTGGAATGAAAAGACGGATTCTTTGCTAGATGTATAGCACTTTGACTGTCGCAATACAAGACATTGTTTTCTTGTTTCTTGCCTAACTCTTCCAAGAAACTTTGGAGCCAAACCATCTCCTTGCTAGCTTCCGTAACAACGACATATTCTGCTTCAGTTGTGGAGAGAGCAACTATCTTCTGTAGTTGAGAAACCCAACTCACTGCGGTTCCTCCTAGAGTATAGAGTATAGACTCACTGCGCCCATATCCTTCATGGCAAACTGCTTTGACAATTTTTGCTTCAAGTTTATAATCTCTTGCATGTCTGAGCCTGCAACGAGCATGTCATCAACGTACAACAATAAAATAATGAAGCTATTGTCGAACCTCTTGATGTAGCAACAATGATCTGCTTGGCATCTGGTAAAACCACTGCTACTCATGCAACTATCGAACTTCTTGTACCACTGTCTAGGAGCTTGTTTTAAACCATACAAGCTCTTATTCAACCTGCATACTAGGTTTTTCTTGTCTGCCTCTATGAAGCCTTCTGGCTGCCTCATATAGATTTCTTCCTCCAAATCACCATGAAGGAAAGCTGTCTTTACATGTAACTGCTCAAGATGTAAATTCTCTGCAGCTACAATTTTCAACACCAGTCTGATTGTAGACAGTTTCACGACTGGAGAGAAAATTTCATTGTAGTCAATACATTCTTTTTGCTGAAAACCTTTGACAACCAATCTTGCTTTATAGCGTTTGCTCCCATCGTGCTCTTCTTTGATCCTGTAAATCCACTTATTGTGAAGCGCTTTCTTGCCTGGTGGTAATTCAGCTAATTCCCACGTCTGATTTGACAAAAGCGAGTCCATCTCATCTTTCATGGAAGACTCCCACTTGACTGAATCCTCCACTTGCATTGCTTCATCATAGCACTCTGGTTCACCATTGTCAGTCAGCAACAAGTAGTGCAAAGAAGGAGAATACCGTTGGGTTGGTTTAGGAATTCTGGAGGAGCGTCTTAGTTCCGGTGTGCCTGGTTCTTCTTGAACTGCTTCAGGACTGATCTGAACATCATTTCCAGAAATCTCCTCAAACTCAGCAAATTCCTTTGTTTTAGCTTTGGTATTGGAGCTGCTTGATTCTACAGTTGACCTGTCTTTGTACATCACATTCTCATTGAAAATGACATCTCTGCTTCTAATGATCTTCCAATTTTCATAGTCCCAAAAAACCGGTAACCGAACTCATCACCGCCGTAACCAACAAAGGCACATTTGTTGGACTTAGCATCAAGTTTACTTCTTTTAGCAGAGTCTATGTGTACATAAGAAATACAACCAAA